AGGCGCCTTGAGTCAGAGCAAAAGGTTTCGCAGTCTCCTTGTAACTATCCTATTATTACCGATACCATAATATTACCCCAATATAAACCTAAACCCTAAACCCTAGACTCCTAAACCCTAAACCCTACACCTAAACCCTCAACCTTGAACCCTAGTTCTTTGAGCCCGAGGTCTTGGTGTGGAAAAGACCTGGGCCAGAAAGAGGAAGCCTTGTAGACTCACAACCCATAGTCTCGATGTCCACGCCCTACTGTAGGCACCCATAGAACTACTTATATATAGGTCCTAGATTTCATTTTGAATTGCAGTATAGGGTACCTCAAACAGTCCCCAACATGATGTTGGTAATTATTAAGGCCTCTGATTTGAGCACCCTATAAACTCATACACAAGCCCAGTTTTCACTTTCTTGTTCATCCTCTTTCCCATTTGTTTCTCCATTAATTCTGGTAATTCTTCAGCCCCATATAGTAAGCCTTGCTGCCTATATCAGTGTTAACAAGCGCGTCATCTTCCTTGCGCTAAATTCTAAATCATTATGCTTTGTTCGTCGCTTTCAGCTTTCGTGCTAGTAGGTCATGATTTGTATTGTTAAAGTGGTTGCTGTAGCCGACAAGTCTATACCCTTAAGCCGCAGCCTGAACCTCTATAGTACTCTACCCATGTTTGAGGTCTAGGAAACCCCAAACCCTGAGCACCAAACGGTCCCAAAACCCTAAGAGGCCCTAAACCCTAAACCCTAAGCCCTAAATAGTAGTTTCCATTTTATTTTCCATTATCCCATATTAGTATAGCCCCAATATAGCCTTAATATTACCCCAATATAAACCTAAACCCTAGACTCCTAAACGCTACGCCCTAAACCTTGAACCCTAGACCCTAAACCTTGTCAGGTTCTTGCCCGGTGGAGATCTCTTTAAGTGGATCGAGGTTAAGAACCGCTTCTCCGTGGTTCACACCTTAGCTGCCCTTAGGGTTTCGGGTTTAGGGTTCCATATTACCCGCGATAATGGAGAATCAAGTGGAAAGGAACATGGAAAATGAAATAGATACTGAGATTATAAAGGAAACGCGGATCCGTGATTAATCGACCCCCTTCCCTTAATAGGGATTACATTAGGGATCCTAATATTAAGGTCCTTAAAAGGTGGAGTTTTACTAATCAGGGGTCTACCTTAGCTGCGTTTAGGGTTCAGGGCTTAGAGCTTTTGGGGCTTTGGGTTCAGGCTGAGGGTTTAGGATGAAGGGCTTAGAGTTTGGGGCTAAAGCTCTAAACTCTCAGCTTCTGCCAGAGGCAGGCCCTACCTTCTTTGGGCCCTGAAGTTCTTCTACGCTCAAGGTAAATGATTCTTAATGAGCCTGAACAAGCCTTGCATGGAAGTTGCGTGGCACGCATGACCCTTTGCAAGGCTTGCTGATACGCGTGTGGAGGTTCATTGGCTGCTGCAGATCTGTTGCCAGCATGCCAATGTCAGCGTCAGTCACCATGGCCCTCACCTAGCCTCCAACCCCATTGGTACATACCTATGAGTCCGTCTTCAGCAAAGAAGCATGCTCCACAACTTATTGACCTCGTGCTAACAAGGGATGGCTGCGTCACCAGTTGACAGATGTTGTGCATGAGCAGCATTTGGTACAGGAATACCATAGTGCCCACGAGGGAGTAAGAACGTATCCTTCTTGTGGGTATTGTACTTTACATGAAGAAGCCTTAGTCAACTCAAGCACCGGAAACACTATTCAGATGTCAATGCGGCGTTCATGAAGAGGACAGGAGAGCATCTCCATGCAAGAGCTTCAAGTACGATTACATCTCTTCAGAGGCAAACCCTACACACTAAACCCAATCACCCCCCAACAATTGTGTTTTTTTGTTACAGAGATCGGTTGCGATATGCACCCTATATGATCAAAAAAGGCCTTTGATGACACCCTAGCCTAAGCCTTGCATCCCGAATCCGAAGCATTACACTTCGGATGCTGCCCCCTGTGGGTAAACTTGAAGTAGAATTACTCATTACTCCTGATTTGCATATACAATGCCCTTTATACAGTTGCCTTCTCTCATGTACTTTTACTGGGGGCAGTATCCAACCTACGCTGTGATGGCGCGCTTGAGGACGAGACTCGGTTTTACATGGCAGAACTCCTGGAGGCTGATCCTTCGCATCAAAACTTAGGGTTCAAGGTTTTGGGGTTCAGGGTCTAGGCTGTAGGCTTTAGGGTTTAGTTGATTATAGGGTTTAGGCTTTAGGATTCAGGGCGGTTTATGGGTTTGGGGGTTCCGGGCTTAGGCTCTGGCATTCAGGGTTTAAGGATCCCTCGCGTGGGTCAATTCAGGTGCTATTAACTCCATATTTTGGGGCTGTTACCGTAGGGGGGGATTGACCTTAATAAGCCCTAATCCCTAAACTTCGAAGTAAGGCTTAATATACGGCTCTTTCAGGGATTCTAGGGACCTTTAAAGGGTACATATAGGGTATATAGTAGGTATATAAGGATCCGAGGGTCAGGTGCCCAGAATAGGGGCCCATGGCTTCAAACTTAGAATGGACCTCCAAATTAAATCCAGTCTGGAGTTGGGATCCGCCGATTTGTATCTGTAAACCCTAAACTTCCTAATTAGGTCAGTGCCCAAAACTCGGACCCGTGCACCCCTATCCTCTTCCCCAAAATCGAACTCCTTCTGCAAAGGTGTTCTTACATAATTCTGTTGTGTATCTTTCGAACCCTTGTGATTCTTGGCCTGGACATGTATCCTGTTGAGCTGCCCTCAAGAACCTGTCCGAGTCACATTCGAAAGCAATCCAGCTTTTTTAGGAAGGACACTGCAAGCACCATGCGCGCTTGACCCTTAAGTGGGAAATCGTGCGTTCAACGATTGGCTTCCCAGCCTACTGTTGCACGAGTTCAGGATTTTAATGGTGTCGTAAACCTCATCGCTTGTCATAGTACCAATTTCCATCTGCAGTAGCCCTACAAAACTGAGGCTGTAGAAACCTGGTGATGCAGGCACTCGACGTTCTCCACAAGCACGGTTTCATTCACAGGGACATCAAGGCTTGCCACATTAGCTTACCTCACATGATTCTCAACTCGACTCAAGCTAACCACCCCTACCTCAGGAATGTCCAAGTCTGGCAACATGTACCGCTCTACAGGTCGGAGAAGTCATACTTGTAGGATGCGAACAGTCGAGCTTGTGTGACGGTGATTTTTCGTCGCGGTTACAGGCGAGAAGAGGCTCATCAGCCTAACTTTAAGCATTTTGGGTACCGTGCCTGTTAACAAGCTGCTCTCGTGACATTTGAACATTGGTGCTGCCGATGTTATGCAGATCTTCCGTAGCACTGGTCGTTTGATTTCTTGCAAACGCTGGTGATGCTTCTGTGTATACTAGGAAATCCTGCACGACGTCATTTTACGATGGTACCATCATGTCCAAGATTTAAGGTACTTAGTGTCATGCAGGATAATCCGGTTTCCTCAAGTCACTTGTAGGAGCTGCTAGAAGAGGGTTTCAACAGCCATAATCCTAAGGGTCCAAATACCCAACTGATAGGGTATTAGATCCCAAATACCATTCTAGTCCCTCGACAGTGCATCTGCCTAAACCCTAAGCCCTACAGCCCCAAACCCACTATACAACCCCTATAGAACTCTATATATTCTAGTAGTTTCCATGTTCTTTTCCATATTCCCTATATATCCCATGCACAACTTGCTGAGAGTTGTATTTGTCAGGCTGGTACCTTGAACCTTTATAGGCAGTACCTGAACCCCAGAAGAATGTAGAATCATGGCCTTCTGGGCTTATTCCAAGGGACTTTGGGCTATTATTCTACATACGTATTGGGGCCTAGGTATTCTAGAGGCCATCATCTACACATTGTTCATTATTCCACTCCTCAATTTCCCTTAAGCACCAAGAAGGCACGCTTCACCTTCTAGAAGGTCTTTGTCATGTTGGGTTCGTAGTGTTTACAGTTACTAGATTCCCCTGCAAATGCATCAAGCACTATGAGGCTGAGGGTCCCCAACCCTAAATCCTCACAAAGCCTAGGCGCCAAACCAGGTATTCTCTGTGGATTATGGCAGGCATGCTTGCCGAGCCTATGACGAGCGGCATCGGTTCTACCTGCAGACTGCCGAGTTGTGCCGTGCACAGGGAATACATTCCGGCCTCTTGTTGCGGAATCCTGCAGTGGGAGCCCGGGCCCTGAGGCCATCAATATGAGCTATAATCTAAACCCCTGAAAGGGGAGGTTATATGGGGGATTATCTAGGGGATTTCAATAAGGGAAATTAAGGGGGATACTAGGAGTTTAGACTATAACCCCTATAATCCCGAATCCCAGTTTCCTTTTCATTTTCCATTTGATTCTCCGTTTTTCATGGGGGATACTAGGAGTTAAGACCCTAAACCCTAAACGCTAAACCCTAAACCCTATATTATATAGGTTATTAAGGGGATACTAGGAGTTTAGACCCCAAAGCCTAAACCCTGAACCCTATATTATGTAGGTTATTAAGGGGGATACTAGGAGTTTAGACCCTAAACCCTACACCGTTGGTTATTAATGGGGATACTAGGAGTTTAGACCCTAAACCGTAAACCCTAAACCCTATATTATGTAGGCTATCGAGGGGGATACTAGGAGTTTAGACCCCAAACCCTAAACCCTATATTATGTAGGTTATTAAGAGTGATACTAGGAGATTAGACCCTAAAGCCTTAACCCTAAACCCTATATTATGTAGGTTATTAAGGGGGATACTAGGAGTTTAGACCCTAAACCCTAAACCCTATATTATGTAGGTTACTAAGGGTGATACTAGGAGATTAGACCCTAAAGCCTTAACCCTAAACCCTATATTATGTAGGCTATTAAGGGGGATACTAGGAGTTTAGACCCTAAACCCTAAACCCTATATCATCTAGGATTTTAAGGGGGATACTAGGGGGATACTAGGAGTTTAGACCCTAAACCCTAAACCCCATATTATGTAGGGGGATACTAGGAGTGTAGACTATGGCTCATATGGGGCACCAGCTAAAGGCCTTGAAGGCTGCCGCAAGTCCGGGGACGCATCCGGCTGCCAGGGAGTTAGAGCCATACCTTCTGCCCTAACCCAGGGATTATAGGGATTTAAGGGTTCAGGGTTTAGGGTTAAGGGTTAACCCAGGGATTGTAGGGATTTAGGGTTTAGGGTTTAGGGTTAACCCAGGGATTATAGGGATAATGGAAAAGAAAATGGAAAGTGCCATAATGGGTTATATATGGATTATGGGGTATCTATTGGGGTTTTAGGTCTAATGTGCTTCAAGCGACTTTCAACTTCGGGTCCAAGTCCACAATCCCAATAGAATGCCTGCACTATCCATATATACATGTGTATATATATATATATTATGTAGTTATATATATATATCCTTATTCCCTACTACAACCTCAATATATATATATATATATGTATATATATATATATACAGTAGCTTCCATGTTCTTTTCCTTTGTCCCTATTCCCTATGCAATCTATTCCCTTATTCCCTACTAACCCTACACCCTGTATAATGCATCTCCTTATTCCCTATTAAGCCCCGGAAAGGTAAACTGTAACCGGCACACCCAACAGCACCACAACCCGAAAGCCAGCATGGAGCGCTGGCCTCCTGAAGCGGCCACGAAGCAATCAGATGGTGCACACACTGATCATCCTGGTTATATAGGGGGTATATAAGGCCTGTATAAAGATTATATAAGGAAATGGGATTAGGGGTCCCTTCTAAGGGTCCTTCCTAACAACCCTTGAGAGCAACGATGACTGGGTTGCAGTTAAGGAATTTAAGTTAATGTACTGGATCATGTTCGGGGGGTTCATGGTTTAAGTTAGCTTATTCTGTGTATATAGAAAAGAATTTGGTTTCCTGAATTTAGCACCTTGATTTAAATTCCTCGAAAGCAACTACTGATCAATGATGAACCGCCAACATCGGGCGTCAACATAGTCTCCTGACCTTCGCTGTCCCGACAGAACAGCCTCACAACAAGCCAGTACTCTGTCCGGTATGAAGTATGGTCTAAACTCAGAACTCACTAAAGGTGTTTATATGAGGGGTTATATAGGGAGCCAGAAGAGGGCTTATTGACGGGTATACCAGGAATTTAGACCCTGGCTCATTTCATCATTCCATGTCCGGTCCCCGCCCCAAAGTGCGGCCCGCCAGAAAGGATCCAATGTTTAGGTTTAGGGTCTAGGAGTTTAGGGTTTAGGGTTTCTAGGTACCTATATAGGGATAGTAACCCAAGCCATACTGCAAATTCCTAGTATAGAAACCTTATTTTACGGCATTAAGATACTTAGAATCATTTGGGGATAGAAGCCCTACGTCATACCACATAGACTTGGGGATAGAAACCCCACTTTATGCCAGATATTTATAATCATTCAGGGATTGGGCCAGAGTCAGGAGTGACCCATGGGTTGAGCTGACTGCTACGCACGGGTGCGAGCAGCCTGGGCGCAGGCCAACCCTTCGATGGCGCGAACACATCCGGAACCCTAAGCCCACAGTCTTGGTTTTTTCTTGAGGAGGTTTGTTCAGTACTTCTATAAGGAAACCCTATTATTCACTATATATCCATAATTTGGTACCTTAACTAAGTTCCTCTACAGCAGCCCAGTAAGCCCTAAGCCCAACAACCTAAACCCTGAACCAAACCCTAAATAGTAGCTTCCAGTTTCTTTTCCATCATGCCTAGCTTTGGGACCCCCCCAAACCCTAAACCAACCCTAAACCCCCATAATCCCCAGCAAAACCCTCAAACGCAGTTCGACAACATGATCCTCACTTCTAATGGCCACCTCAAGCTGCTGGACTTCGGTCTGGGCCTTCATGGTTTTTGGGCTTGTTGCTAAGGAACTTGCCATAATGGGTATATGTATATGGGTGTTTTCCAAAATTAGGGGTACCTTGTTGGGGGTTCCCATAAAAAGGATTATTGTATTGAGGGGTCTACATTGGGGTCCCCCTGTTTTGGGACACTGCCATACATGGTTGGGGGTTCAGGGTTTGGGGTGGGTTGTATAGAGTCTAGAACGGAGCAAAGTAAATGGAAGCTACTGCGTCATTTAGAGTTTAGGGTTTGCGGGGGATGGGGTTTGCGGTGGTTAGGGTTTTGGCCTTTGGGATTTTGGGTGTTGGGGTCGCGGTTTGGCTTTTGGGCTTATGGTTCTGCTATAGGAGATTACGGGCAGAGCCATTCCCATTCTGGGTAGCTTTACCATGTCCTACCTCGCCGACAGAGCTGGGCAACGTTGGGTTTGGGTGGGCACAAGACGCCCGCAGCACTCTGTATCAATCAAAGAGGCTCCTACAGTAGGTTTGAACGTTTAGGATTTACTTACTGGAACTTAGTAGGAAATAGGGAATAAACTCCATGTATAACTCCATATAATATATTCCTTTATTCCCTACCTGCCCCCATGGAGATATGGGTAGTTTCCCGGACATGTATCACATTCTGGCATCCCTTTGCTGTAGAATAAGTCGCCTTTTTTCCACTCTTTGTTTATGCTGGGAACTGGAGATGATAGAAAGGGGAGCGACTGTTGTACGTGGTAGCTGCGAATGTCTTTTCCAGCACGATTGCGGCAGCTACCTATGCCTATGCAGCAGTTTGATGCAGTCTCGGTTTTGTTTTCCATTGACAGTGGCTACTACTCGCATATCACATGGAAATTTGACTTGCTTCATTATGCTGTCCAGTTAGAGACTACAGACTATGGTGACAATTAATACTGAATATCAGCACGGAGGCTGCCATGTTGTGGTAGCTGCCTTGGCTCTACATCTAGATGCAGCCATTTCATCTAGGCTTTCCTTATGAATGCGGTATTTCCATGTAGTTGCCATGCTTCATGGAGATCAGTCCTTTGCTGATTGTGCAGTGCGACTGCATCAAGTAGTTCCCGTGTACTTTCCCACTCATAGCCCCAAAGAAGGGGTAAACCCACCCATATCATAAAAGTATTTCGCTTGATCTGGCAGCCTGGTTGGGTGCAGAGACACTGTTTGTTTCAAGAAGCACCTTGCGGCCTCGCGCAATGGCCATCCACCTAGACGTGTGTCTCCTGAGCGCGAGGAGTGTTCGCGTGGAGATTGCCGTGGAGGGTACCGTTGATGAACTGCGGCAACGTGCCCAGGACTTGCTCGAGGTCGGTGGCGGCGAGCTGTTGACTGTTTCTGGCACCGTGCTGGAAGGGCAGCTCACAGTCAGCCAGGCTGGTCTTCAGGACGGGGATTCTTTGACACTGCGAAGAAAGCCTGCGCAGGTGGGGGGTCCTGACAATCATTAGGGTTTAGGATTTAGTTTTTTTTCATAGCAACTCTCAGGATTGACTGGGGCGGTTCTTCTGATGCTCAGGTAGCTGCAACTGACGGGGCGTTTGCCGCACTGCTGAGCAACGGGTCTTTAGCAACCTGGGGAGCCAACCTACTTGGAGGGGACAGCAAAGCAGTCGCATCGCAGCTAAGGACGCGGTCCGTTTCAGTACGCAGGGGTTCTTTTTCTATGGGGTTATACTAGGGTTGAGGGTGCGTGGTTTGGGGTTTAGGGTTTAGGGCATGGGGATTATCCCAATCATGGAGACACAAATGGAAAAGAACATGGACCATGAAATGGAAGCTGGTATTCTGTGGGGGATTTATAGGGTGGATGCCCAAGCTTGGGCACTGCCCCCACTCAGTAACAGTTGGATCATATGTAACTTACTTCTAGCCTTAATATGACCACTACCACTATTATTATGCACTGTAAGCTGGTGGGGGCAGGCCCAAACCCAAACCGTTGCTCCAGGAATGTGCAGCATGTCCAAAGCACGGCATCAGCTTCTTCATTGTCTTTAGCAACCCTTGTTTGTCGGTTTCAGGGTCTGTTGTGGAAATCTTGTAGCGAAGCATATAGCGAAGAAGCGTGAATGTGTGGCATTCTTACCTCCTTGCAATCCCGATTACACAACTTTACTAACATGCACACGGAAAGCCTTGTTCCACGTAGTAAGCTCATAAGCCCTAAACCCCAAATTCAGGACCTTGAACCCTCGGCCCTGACCCTAAACCCTATAGCCCTTAAACCTTAGACCTTAGACCCTCCCGTAAACCCTAAATATTAGTTTCGATTTTCTCTTCCACTATCCCTGTATAATCCCAATATAACCCTATATAATCCGTACATAGCCCCAATATATATGTATATATCCTATAATCCCTACATAACCCTTGCTTCAAGCTTTGGAGGCCTTTGCGGCAATATTGAAGGATGGCTCTGTTGCTTACTTAGCCATTAGAAGATCTTTATCCTTTTTGGGCTTCCTTTTGGGGTCTCTATACCAAAGCTTAAACTTTTTTAGCCCCGGTTATTGGGGAAGAGAGGTTGTGACGTGGGGCCGCAGGGACTGTGGTGGCGACAGCACGCATGTGCAGCATTTGCTCGTGGACGTTCAGGAAATTCAGGTGTTTCGCTGGCACGGTCATGGAAGTCTTGCTATTTGTTCGTAGATAGAAGAAAACCCTAAGGGTCCAAGGACCCAAATAATAGGGTCTTAGGTCCCAAATACCATTAACAGTATAGTATTTGGGCCCCAAAACCCTGTTATTTGGGTCCTTGGACCCTTAGGGAAATGAAAAAGGCATGAAACGAGAAGATGAACTGGAAAGCTGGGTATGCAGGTAAGTTTCGGGTTTAAGGGTTTAGGGTTTAGGGCTTAATGTTAATAAACCCCCCGCCCCCCCCCCCCCTCCCCCTGGATCGATCTATCTGATATCTATCTCCATTCTGGCGAGCCCCGCCCGGAACAGCAATGCCCAAAACGTAGGTTTGAACGCCTATGTTGAGTTAATTAAACCTAATAAAAAGTCGTTGTCCCGGAAAAAATCGCACATGTTTCGGATCTTATTAAGGTGGGGGTTGTTATTATTGTGTTCCGGCGGCCGGATTTTTGTAAATGTGGGAGTAGTTCTGAATATGAAGTCAACATTCGTGTCATTCTGTATTTGGACAGCCAGGAATGGACAAGAACATTGGCTAGAGACTATATTGTTGGGTATTATTTCATGCAGCGGCCGGTAAAAGAGATCCATGACAAATCGTGACATACATGATTATTACCTTGACAATCACGTTCGAGATGCTAATGAGAAGCGTTTATTTACCCTTGTGGCCTTCTGGCTCCTTCTTGATTTCCTAAACCGTAAACCAGAAACCTTGAGCCCCAAAGCAGAATTCTAGCACAAAAGCCACCAACCTCCCAGCACTGAAATTCAGACCATCAGTCCTGACAAAAATGTTCAACCTCTAAATCCTACAAAGCATTAAACTCGACTGCAGAGTCCATAGGTACTCGTACAAATGGTATGATAGGTAGGACTGCTAGCCTTGTATCCTCATTTAGGGTACTTACAACTTATAGTTGATAACTTCACTCAATCTACGAACCTTCATCCCCGAAACCCAAACCCTATACCCCAAGCCCTACTTGATGTGTTCATGGGACTTACTAACTACTTATAGCTGGGCTTCGAACCCTGCTCATCATTCTGGTAACCTGCCTGGGTCCAGTTAGGGGGATTCAAATTTGGGTTGTAAAGCCAATTCTAAACCCTACACCCTAAACCCTAAGGCTCTTCAAACGAACTCGGACCTGTAGCTTGAGGCTTCCTGGGCGGCATTTGCTGCTTTGCGGGGTGATGGCTCTGTGGTGACCTGGGGTCATCCCGGCTACGGCGGCAACAGTCAGTCAGTACAGGACCGTCTAAGGCAGGTTGAGGCCTAATATGAGCTATAGTCGGAACTCCTAGTTTCTCCCTTAATAGCCCTTTAATGTCCTCACCTATATAATCCCCTACATAGCTCCCTTTAAGGAGTTTAGCTCATAAGAGTTTCAGGGTTGAGGGTTTCAGGGCTTAGAGTTTGGGGATCTGCGCATTACGGTTCAAGTTTGGAGTGTAGGATGTTAGGCTTTGAGTTCAGGCTTTGATGAGTCCGCACTCTGAGGTTTGAAGTTCTACATAACCCTGGCTAAAGAGCATGGTCCCTAAACCCTAAACCCTAAAGCACGGTATTCAGAGACCCCTGTCACCATCTGGGCTCTCCAGAAGGGTTTAGACTGAGGGTATTTCAGGTTTTTGGTTTGGGAATACTACCTAGCCAAGGACCCAAATAACAGGGTTTTAGGGCCCAAATACTATAATATTCATGGTATTTGGGCCCTAAAGCCCTATTATTTGGGTCCTTGGACCCTTAGGGTTAAGAGAACTTTAGTAACCACAACCCCGAAAATTAGGACCGTATACAGCAACCATCAAGTGACGATACTAGGATCCTAAATTTCGGGTTGAGGTTACCAAAGCCCTAAACCCTAAACCGCGTGGCCCTTCAGGCATGTTCGCCGCATTGCAGCTTCAAGTTCCGCGGTTGGCGGGGCGTTTGCAGCAATTCTGGCTGATACTAGAGCAGATTTGAGAAGACTTTGTTTTTATATAGCCTAATTTAATCCCTATATAGCCTCCATGTCACCCCAGTTTCCATTTCATTTTCCATTTTTCTGGTCCATTTGATTTTCCATGATTGGGGGTATATTAGCCCCAGTCAAGCCTTGGCGCTAGGAATTTAGTTTCTTTAGAGCATCCACCAGGATCCACATCTGGCTTAGGATGGATCTGCTGTGACATGGGGCGATTCTCACAGCGGTGGGGCCAGCGATTCCGAGCAGCTTCGGGGTGTGCAGCAAATCTACGGCTCCTGTGGAGCTTTCGCAGCAATCTTGGATGATGGATCGGTGGTGAGCTGGGGCGATGCCGATTCTGGTGCTGACAGCAGTGGA